GATAGTCCATTGTAGGCTGTCATTTGTCATTGCAGCACACAGTAAACATCCAGTGGGAGATGAGAAAGTTTAAAAAAATTTTTTTAGGACCCCAATAATGGTATCAACAGCTTTCTAATGCTTGCATACCTCACATTTTACCAGTGCATCAGAGAACAGCTGATTGTGTTATTTTGTCTGTCCAGTACGGTGGCATGATGACATCGTTACTATTTTTGTTTTTTTAGAGGTTCTGGTCTCTGAGCACAGGTGCAGCATTACCCAGTGACACTGCAGGGCTTGGCAACACTGGGCTGACACCTGCCCACCCCCGGTACACACACAGAGTATAGAAGGTCATAGCAGGTAAAGGAATAAAGCTAATTTGCAAAGGAATGACATCACAGATGCCCCCCCTCCATGTTCCAGAGGACATTACATTCGTATGTAGTACTCTCCACTTCTAAACTTCTTTAACTCAAAGTGTTCTGCTGCTAAAGATGAGCTATGCACATTAAGACTTGTTACTCTCTTGCTCAGAAACTTTTAGGATTAGGCAAAATTCTGCTTCCAGAATTAACACATTCTTTGCCCTATCTTTTAAGTCCCACCACAAAATAACATCAATAACTTTCACAGGCAAGTTTTCCTAAGTGTGTCTTCATACATTGCAGGCACTGAGGTGCTGACTTGATTGGGAAAACTTCACCAGAGGTTTCATAGATCAATAGTGGGTGGAACCTTAGGGTTGGGAGAGACCTTAGAGGGAACTAGTCCTACTCCTCACTAATTGATCAGCATTTTGGACTCCTAGCTGTTTGTAAGACATGCCCCAGACTCGTATAACACATACTGAAATCCACCCCCCCACCGCCTCCTCATGTGGAGATACTTTCAGGTGTAACTACCTCTTTCCCAGAGGCCTGAGCCAGTTCTCTGCCCTGTAAGCAATTCCCTTTGGTCTCTCTTGGCATTTACCCTCTTCTCTTTTATGCAGCTGCCATTCATTCACTGAGAAGACAATTACTGCACACCTGCCGGGTGCCAGACCCTGTGCTGAGCACGGGTGCATTCTGCCTACAAGTTCAGTAAGATAAGAGCCAGTACACTAAGGTAAGAAAAAGAAATCATCCAGATTGGGAAGGAGGAAGTAAAATTGTTTATTTGCAGAAAACATGAACATCTATGCATAAAATCTGGTGGGACCTACTGAAAAGCTACTAGAGCTAATAAAGGAGTTTAGTAAAGTTGCTAGAAAAAGATTTACATCTAAAGCAATTTTATTTCTATATACTAGCAATAAATAATTGGGAATTGAAATTTTAAGAAATTTCCAAGTACAACAGTATAAAAAGAATGCAGTACTTACAGATAAATATGTCAAAAAACGTGTAAGACATATACACTGAAAACTATAAAATACTGCTGAAATTAAGGAAGACCTAAATTTATGGAGAGATATACCTTGTTTATGATTCAGAAGACTAAGTATATTGTTAAACTGTCAATAATCTGCAGTTTGATCTCTAGAATCAACATAATCCCATTCAAAATCCCAGCAGGACTTTTTTTTTTTTAGTAGAAAATGTGAAGCTGATTCTACAGTTCTTATGGAAAATGGAAAGGACCTACAGTAGCCCAAACATTACATAATTTCAAGACTTTATATGTAATCAGGATAGCTGACCAATAGATCTTTGAAAGAGACTGGAGAATCCAGAACTAGATCCACACATATCTGGCAATGAACTTCTGACAAAGGTGGAAAGACAATTAGATGGAGAAAAGAACGTCTTTTCAACAAATGGATCTATTGGCTATTTATGTGCAAAAAAATCACCCATATCTCATGTCATATTCATAAAATAATTCAAAATGGGTTATAGACTTTAATGTAAAACCTAAAACCATAAAACTTGTAGGAAAAACAAGAGAAAATTTTTGTTGAACTTGGGTTAGGCAAAGATTTCTTACATTTGACATCAGAAGCATGATTCAGGAAAGTGAAAGTTGATAATTTGGACTTTATCAAAACAAACACTTTTCAAAGTAAATGATAAATACAAACCACAGACTGGGAAAAATTCACCACAGAGCATCTGTTTAATAAAGGACTTGTATCCACAATATAAAAAGAACTCTTAAAGCTCATTTAAAAAAAAAGCCAGAAGAACATAACCCAGTAAAATAAACACTTTACCAAAGAAGATGTGTGGGTAGCAAAGAAGCACATTTTAAAATGCTCAAGATCATTAATCATCCAATTTAAAACCACAATGAGTTAACCACTACACATTTATTAGAATAGCTAAAATTTGAAAGACTGATTATACCAAGTGCCAGGTTTTGTTTTGTTTTTTAATATCCTGGAAACTATTTTTTATATATAACAGTAAATAAAATTATTTTGTTTCTTTTTTATAGTTGCACAGTATTGTTTGGTTTATTCAATGTCTCTTTTATTGATGGACATTTTATTTCCAGTCTTGTTGCTATAAATAATACTGGAGTAACATAGTTTTGTGCATATATATTTTCAACATTTGTTGTTCCCCAGTATCTTTAAGATAGAGCTTTAGAAGTGGAATTGTTGAGTCAATGGGTAAATACACACATAATTTTGGGAGATGTTGCAAAATTCTCATTCATAGGGGTTGTATCATTTTGCATAGTGATCAGCAATGCTTGAGAGTGGCTGTTTCCACCACATTCTCTCACCGGCAGAGTACAGGGTACTTCAGAAGGCTTATGGAAAGATTCATATTATCTTTTAATTCTGTTTTTCCACAGACTTTTGAAGTATCCTCCTACGTTATCAGATATTTGGATCTTGCCAAGGTAAGTGAGAAATGGTGACTCAGTGTAGGCTTTATTTGTATTTCTTTCATTATGAACAAGGCAGAGTGTGTTTCCATATGTCTACAAGCTATTTATATTTCTTTTCCGAGATCTGTTCATTCTTTCAGCCCATTTTTCCATAGGTTTGCTGGCCACTTTCTTCTCTATTTGTGAAGCTTTTTATATCTTAGAAATATTAATCCCTTTTAATATGTTACAAATATATTTTCTCAGGTTGTCACCGTCAAATTTTGCTTATTTTGCAATTTTTGTGGGGTGGGGGACTGAGCAAG